AGAAGTAGAATTAAGAAGGGTGTATCCTTTTTTTTTTAAAAGACTTTTTATTAAAGTCAGGTTTATAGAGGTATAATTTACACAGTAAAATTCACCCTTCTTAGTGTACCGTTCTATGAGTGCTGACAGTCTTGTAATCACCACCACAGTCACGATACAGACCCATTTCATCACCCTCCATAATCCCCTGTTGTTCCTTTGTTGTCAGCCTCTCTTCCCACATCCCTCCTTCTGGAACTACTGATCAGTCTCTGACCCTATAATCCTGCCTTTCCCAGAACGTCTTCTGTACGAAATCATGTAGTATACAGTCTTTTGAGTCGGCTTCTTTCCCTTAGCAGTCATTCATCTTGTTACAAATCAGGAGGTTGCTCCATTTTGTTGCGGAGTTCTTCTCACTGTATGTATGTACCACAGCTTGTTTGTCCCTTCTCCAGTTGAAGAACATGTGGGTTCTTTCTAATTTTTGGCAACCATGAATAAAACCACTATAAATATTCGGGTATATGTTTTTGAGTGGACATACATTTTTACTGTCTTTGAGTAAATACCAAAGAGCTGGCTGCCGGAGTCATAGGTTAGTGTATGTCTAACTTTGTAAGAAACTGCCAAACTATTTCCCAGCCAGGTGTACTGTTTTTCATTCCTACCAGCAGAGTATGGAGCTCCAGTTACCCCTTTTTCTTGCCAGCGCTTGGTATTGTTAGTTAAAAAAAAAAAAAAAAAGTAGCCTTTCTTTTTTTTTAAATTGTGCTCTAAGTGAAACTTTACAGTTCAAGTCAGTTTCTCATACAAAAATTTATACACACGTTGGTATGTGACCCTGGTTGCTCTCCCTATACTGTGACAGCACACTCCTCCTTTCCACCCTGGATCTCCTGTGTCCATTCAACCAGCTCCTGTCCCTTTTTGCCTTCTCATCTCGCCTCTGGACAGGAGCTGCCCATTTAGTCTCATGTATCTACTTGAGCTAAGAAGCACTCTTGTCACGAGTATCATTTTATCTCCCCTAGTCCAGTCCAGTCTTTGTCTGAAGAGTTGGCTTCAGGAATGGTTTCAGTTCTGGGCTAACGGAGAGTCTGGGGGCCATGTCTTCCGGGGTCCCTCCAGTCTCAGTCAGACGATCAGGTCTGGTCTTTTACTAGAATGTTACTTCTGCGCCCCACTTTTCTCCTGCTCCGTCAGGGACTTTCTGTTCTGTTTCCTGTCAGGGCGGTCATTGGTGGTAGCCGGGCACCATCTAGTTCTTCTGGTCTCAGGATGGAGTCTCTGGTTTATGTGGCCCTTTCTGTCTCTTGGGCTAATGTTTTCCTTGTGTCTTTGGTGCTCTTCATTCTCCTTTGCTCTAGGTAGGTTGGGACCAATTGATGCATCTTAGATGGTTGCTGGCTAGATTTTAAGACCCCAGACACCACTCACCAAAGTGGGAGGCAGAACATTTTCTTAATAAACTTTGTTATGCCAGTTGACCTAGGTATCCTCTGAAACCATGGTCCCCAGACCCCTGCCCCTGCTACTCTGTCCCTCAAGGTGTTTGGTTGTGTTCAGGAAACTTCTTGGCTTTTGATTTAGTCCAGTTGTGCTGACTTCCCCTGTAGTGTGTGTTGTTCTTCCCTTCACCTAAGATCATTCTTATCTACCATCTAGTTAGTGAATACCCATCTCCCTCCCTCCCCATCCTCTTAAAAAAAATTATTGTTTCTAATAGATATGTAGTGGTATCTCATTTTGGTTTTAATTTAGGATGTACTTTTTTAGGGTTCTTGCTGTATTTATTGCCATATTACCCTCCATAAAGGTTACATTCCTCCAATGGTATATTCATGAGTTGTCACTTTTTTCTTCTTTCTTTTGAGAGATAAACAAAGGATTCTACAATTGGCATCACAAGACTAGGCAAAAATTCAGTATTTTTCTCTCCCTCATGACCTTTTAGCCATCACACAGAAATAAAATTCACTTGTATTACGGTTAAATTTTGGACAATGAATCCCATCTTCTTGTGGACTCTCAGTATAAAGTGAGAGATATGTTCATTTGGGGGAAAATTTGGCTTAAAGACGGGTAAAGTCTACATTAGTGACTGTAGCAAGTTCTTTAAAGACATATTAAAAGTAAACTCTGACGGTTGTGCAACATGGAGAATGTAATTAATGTCTCTGAATTGAACACATAAAAATGGTTGAAATGGCAACTGTTTTGGTATATATTTTTTTACCACAATAAAAAATTTAAAGTAAACTCATCATTTCATGAGAAAGTATAATATTATGATAGTTTATTCTAATATAAAGTATTGATTGTTTTTTCTGCTTCTCAAAATAGCTCAAATTACGAAGCAGGGAAAACCTTAACTGAATGGGTCATTTTGCACCTTCTGTCAAACTTCAATATATTTCGGTAGGATTGCATTCAACTCTGATTACTAAGACTTTGTTTTTGACATTTTGTGGAAGTCATTGGCTTGATTGAGCTGAAGTTAAATAGAATAATAAATAGTTGTCTCAAAAGAAATTGCTTAAAAAATTACTTGAAACTTCCGATTAAACATGGAGAATTTAATACACATATTTACCTCCATTTCTTCATCAAACTTTACTAAAATAACTTTAAAAGAATAAAAAAAACCCAGTCAATTTCGACTCACAATGACCCTATAGGACAGTAGAACTGCCCATAGAGTTTCCAAGGAGTGCCTGGTAGATTTGAACTACTGATCTTTGGGTTAGCAGCCGAGCTCTTAACCACTACATTACCCAAATCAAAAAACCCATTGCTGTCAAGCTGATTCTGACTCTTAGTGACCCTATAGGACAGAGTAGAACTGCGCCATAGAGTTTCCAAGAAGCAGCTGGTGGATTCGAAGTCCTGACCTTTTGATTAGCATCTGAGCTCTTAACCACTACATCACCAGGGCTCCTTAAAAGAATAAGAAGACCTCAGTCCAAAAGGACAAGGAGACTTAACCTTTCCCATATTATCTCCAGCATACTTTTCCATTCTGTCCATTAGCCTTACTATTACAAAAAAGCCTTACTATTAAACCCCAATAACCATCTCTTTCTTCAAACTCCTTGGCTTCCATAACATTTTTCCAAATTCACCTCCTTCTCTGTTTATTCCTCGCTTTCCTTGACTGCGTTGGTAGACAAGTCCCCCTCCCCCGCCTTCTTCCCTCTCAGCCATGTTTTTGCTCTCCTTGGCCTGATAGTCTTCTTATGTACATTCTCTGTGGAGATCTTATTTTTTCCTCATGGTCTCAACTATCTAACCTGAATCTCCTTCCTGAACTCTATTTTGGATTCTGTTCCAGGTCCAGAGAAGCGAAATAATTTGCCAAAAATAGGATAATGCAGCGGCAGGTGGATCGGAACTCAGGACTTCTTATTCCCAGGCTGGTACCAAAATTTGCTTCCAGGTTTCTTTTAGCTCTTTTTTTCTTTCCTTGCTTTTTACCTCTTTCTTTAACTGTTCCCCAGCCCATTTTGGTTCAGTTTTCCTATCATCTTGGCTTCCTGTAGCGTCATTACAACACAGGCAAAACTTAACTAACTCTCCAAATGGCCCCCAGAGATGTCATTTTATACCACAAAGCCTCCTTCTCTCCCGCTTGACAAGAGCCTCTGTTTTCACCTTCACAAAATTTCCTTTTTAGGGAATTCAAAGGGACCTTTATCATTAAAAAGGCAATCACCATTTTGTTTTCCTTCTGAAGTATTTAACATGCCAAATACCAAATATTTACATTTTAAATGTAAACCTATTTGAGGGCTGCCTGTCTCTGTGTGGGGGAAGAGGGCCTGCGGTGGAGCGGGGAGGAGTCCGAGTGTGGAAAGCAAAGGTCTCTAACCTGAGAGACTGGAGAAATAGCAAATAAAAACCCAGCTCTGGGAGGCCTGGGGCTAATTCATCACTTTCCCCCAACAAATCATCTGGAACTTCTTTGGGTGTTTATCCCGAGAAGGGTGTAAGCAAATGAGAAGGACAGAATTTAAGCAAGAGCTAAGAAAAATTAGACCCTTAAGAAAAAAAAATTAAAAACAGTTGTTATCCTACTCTTTTATATTCCACATCAAAATCGCACTTTACCTACAGATTTCCATGGAAACCAACTAAAGGGAAATTAGAAGGAGAAGCATTGCAGAGACTTTTCTGCGCGAACTGATGTTTGATTTTCATTAGGCCAGCTTGCTTTCGTCTCCAAGATCCCAGTGTTTATTAAAACAACAATTACCCCAGTAACAATTCCTCCAAGGTAATTTGACTCACCTAACCGTTTTCAAAATCAGACAGTCCTTCATAAGGGAATTTAAAATACCATCTGTATCCTCGTTTGGCACCAAGGAAGCTCAGTCTCTCTGGGAAGCCCGTCCCCAGCAGGGCAGTGCCACGAAAACAGGCTTTTAATGCAATAATATACGCTGACGGGTAACTGTAGGAATAACGCACGGCCTGTGCTTTAAGATGGCCAAGAGCTGGTGCGTGTGTGGCGAGTTATTGGTCGCGCAGCTGGGGATAGGATGCTTTCACTCTCCCTTTTACACTAAAAACAGAAAAACAAAAAATAAACCCAACAGCCATCAAAACCGTCCCAGTGCTTCGGGAAAGCGCGCCAACCACACAAAGAAAAGGAGGGGGGCTACTGGGATTCAAAACCGTTTCCCAGGGACGGACACTCTCCTGCGCCTATCGGAGTTAACTGCGCGCTTGGTCGTAGCCAATAGATACAGAGTGTCTGGTCCAGGTCCGCCCCGAAGACTGATAGACAATAGCGTAGCCCAATGGAAGAGTGTGATGTTGAAGAAGCAACCAATACGTTCGGGAGGTGGGTGGAGAGTAGGCCAGGGGGTTGGCGGTGCCGTGTCATGGAGGCTCAGTCTCTGAGCAGCCATTGAAGGGGAAGGAACTGCGGGAGTGTGAGTGTGTGTGTGTGCGCGCGCGCGCGCGAGTGTGTGCACAAGGAGGTGGGGGCAGCCGAGTTAGAGTCCCAACTCCTTGGACTCCATTTGCTATTCTCTCCCCCCACCACACACACCTATCTGGTGGTGGTGGGCGTTATATTTGCGTTTCTTTTCATTCATTTTCAAACCTTTTTAAATTTGAGGGTTGGGGGTGGTGGGGACAGGCAGGGAAGGGGAAGGCAGCAGACGGGGCAGAAGAGGAGGTGGGGGACATGGAGATGAAGAAGAGGATTAACCTGGAGTTAAGGAACAAAGCCCCGGAGGAGGTGAGGTGACTCAGCCCCCTCCCCTCGCCCACCAACCCCATATCCCGAGGGTCGGATTTCTGGGGGTCCGGGTGGGTGCGTGGGGAGGGGTAGTAAATTAACCCCCACCTGGGGTTAGGGTTGGAGGAAATGCTTCCATTTAAGTTTTCCGTCATTAAAATCCTCTTCTTAAAATGGCGAAGGGTTTAAGTTTCCAGGGGCCTTTCTGTGTGTGCACGGGGGCTTCGCCCCTTTCGGCTGCGGGCGCGCGGGGCTCCCTGCCCTCGTGGGGGCGGGGAAGCGGGGTGGTGGGGGCCT